TTTCTTCATTTCTTTTCAAGAGAGTCAGCGTTGAGATTCTTCCATGGCAACACAATCTCCTAGATTTTTGTTTTCCCAATACGCTTTGAAAAGCTTCTGAAGAAGATTGTCCATGATTTTCAATCAAGTCTTGAAGCTTTATCAAGCATACATAATATAGTAATAGTAGTAGATAACAGTCAAAGGACAAAACAATCCAATTCCACAACCTTAAGAAAAGATAGACTAGAATATATCATAACAAAACTGAAAGATTAAAGCATTTTCAATTGGACAAAGTTATGTAGTCCCCTCCATCCATATTTTCTACATGAAGTAAAATAGTCAACAAAGTTTCAATGATCATATTACTTTCTTTCCACAGGATTAACCTTTAAACATGATTTTCTGCTTTTATCTTTCTCTTTAATCTAAACCTAATGCTAACATGTTTGTGTTGGCAATTATACAAACTAAGGATCACCAAATAAATACAACAAAGAAATACCAAATATATGAGATGTTGTTACTACATTTAGTTAAATTCTTAGTTACTTTTAAAACATATGTTCTCCGGTATACATATTTTTTATATCATTGTCTAAAGTGTCTACTTTACTCTATATTATGTAATGCCACAAATAGTGGCATGCCCTTCCTATAAAATATATGTTAATATATCTGACTATGTTCTTTGATGCAAATTGTGTCAAGCTTTTCAACCATTTCCAAACTGAGTATGATTCATATAAATGTCACCAAATAACTCCTTCTAAAATAATATGCAAGCTTTGTACCTAAAACTGCTTTTTTTCACATGTAACTAACAAAAGTTAGATTCTATTACCAAAGCACACATGTTTGTTACATGTCCTAATTTTGGAAAAAATATTGTTTTAGTCCTTTAGTTTTTTTTTTTGTGTGTAACGCTTTGGTCCTTTATGCTAAGTAACGTTTGCGTCATTGACCTTTTTAAAAATCTCCGTCTCAATAAATTCCTTATTAATTCTAATAAATACTAATTATGAGTTTTTATTTTTCATTGCACATATTAAAAGAGAAGCGTCACACCATATCATGCCTCTCGATAACTACACTAAAACATAACCTAACATGTCCATCATGTACTTATATATTTTAATTTAGCATAAACTTTTGTTCATTGATAAAATATTTTTCAACATCAACTTTAGCAGTATCGGCTTCAGGAACATTTGGTTCATCACTTTCTGGTACATTAGCATTCATACCAACAAAATTTGATTCCTAAAAAATTGGGTTGACAATATCACAATACACCATATCTATAATCTTTGCACGTAAAAAAACACAATCAAACAATCACTCATGGGCCAGGTCTATAAAGATCACATTACATATGGGGATTAGTCTATGCACCCTTAGTGGTGCTCACGCACCCTAGTGAAAGACCAATAATGCCCTTAAAATATGGAACTTAACCTTGAGACGCACAAAAAATGCAACCAAAGTCAAGTCTCATGCCCAAGTCATAACATAGATGAAAATATTTGGAGGTTAAGCTTCGTATTTTTTACGAAGATTAAGTTGTGTACGCGTTTGATTCATATAATACGACAAACCTTCCCTATTCATTCTTCTTCATTTCATTTTAAAGAGTTTACTTAAAACCCAAAATAGAGCTCGTAAGCATCCTTACAGAGATATGAGTTCCCTGCTGCTGCCTTATAAGTCTAACCTGCTGCAGTTCATGATATTTTTCCAAGAGGCCCCTTAGACACCATACTGCTTTGTATGTATGCAAACCTGTTATTACAAATGATTGACATATTTTTTATGTACAACGTGTAATTCAAGATGCCATGACATTATGTTGATACATTTGATCTTAATGCATTTAAAATAGTAGGAAAAGAGGTGGAACAAGATATCTCATACAGTGTGAAACTTCTGCCTTAGAAGCTAACTGCGTAGTAGCAGAATCTCGCGCTTGATTTGTTTCCTTATTTAGTGATTGTTAATGATTTTTTAGGATTAAATAAAGAATACTCTAAAGATTGGTTATTAAGGCCAAATCAGATTGATAGAGATTTAATTTATGATAGATTGCAAATCAAATTAAATCATATTTTCAAGTTGTACTTTTTATTATTTCTTCAACCGCAATCATTATGAAACCCTAACACCAAATGCAACTGTATTTTTTGCTATTTAAGGAGAACCTCTCCTTATAGAAGACTCAGACCTTAAGAGAGATTGCAAGGCAAATTTTAGTTTTTGAGTCTTTTTTATTTTCGTGTGTTTATCTTGTGAAACTCTATTTGAATCATTCTTATACAAAGAAATATAGTTTTGTTTTTGAGTTGTAATAGTTTCATCATACAAATAATTTTGTAATTGTTCAATATTAGGGATAATGGTTGAGAGAAAGTGAGAGGGGTCTCATATTTAGGGAGAGTCCTAAATAAAAATTCACGGTTAGTATTAAGAAAAAGGCATTAAACTAGAAGAGTTCATCTAAGACCAATTTGCACATTTACTATTAGTAATGGATTTCCTTTCTTGGGCTAACACCCTCTTGACGTAGATGATATTGTACCGAACTGGGTTACCAATTTCTTGTGTCTTATTTTCTACATCTTCATTTAAATGTCACTTCATTAAACTTGTCATACACATTGTCTGACACATTGTATTTGAGATCTTTCTAGAGGGAGAACATAATTTCAATTGGCACCAAAGCAGTCACCTTGTTCTATTTGGGTGAGCTCACGGAATTCTATAAGTTATGTTCAAATGGATAATAGTAAATAAAGAGGATTTTCTAATCGGACATTTATTCTAAATAGCACTAACTATGATTATTAGAAAACTCGCATTATTATTTTTATCAAATCCATGGACAACAAAACATGGAAGGCTGACATCAAAGGATGAACACATCCAATGGTTGCTGCTCAAGATGGTACTCAATCCTTGAAGCTAAAAGCACATTAGTCCAAAGATGAAGATGATTAATCTCATATAAATTCATGTGCTCTCAACGCTATATTCAATGAAGTTGACAAAAATGTATTATGTCTCATCAACACACGTACATAAACCAAAGAAGCTTGAGAGATTCTTAAAACTGCGCATGAAGGGACCTCAAAAGTTCATATGTTAATACTTTAACTTCTCACCACCAAGTTTGAGAACCTGAGAATGAAGTAAGACAAAATTATAGCTTACTTATATGTTTGTGTTCGTGAAATAGAAAACTATTCATTTTCTCTTAGTGAAAATGTCTAAAGAAAAACTGACTGACAAAATCGTTAGATCTCTTCCAATAAAATTTGACATGAAAGTTACTGTTATAGAAGAAGCTCGGGACATTAGTTCGATCAAAGTGGGTAAATTTATTGGCTCATTGCTAACTTTGTAAATGGCTATCAATGACAAAACTAAAATGAAAAGCATATGAGTTGCTTTCAAAGCTCGTGTGGATGATTACAAGGAGAAAGAAGTAGAGGATATTGATGAGAACTTGTCCAACTTTATTCCATTACTTGAAAAAAGGTTTGTCAAAGTAATGAGAAGACTTGACAAATAATCCAGGAACAATGTCATGACAAATGTGAAAGGCAAAACTCCTGACAACTCAAGAGTATTTAACTCACACTGCGAGATAAAAGAAGGAGACAATATGAACAAAGGCAATGAGATACAATGTCATGGGCATATCTAGGCGGAATATACCAACTTCCTTTGAAAGCAAAAGAAGGGATACACTACTACACTTTCAAATGAAGAATATGAAGAGGAAAGTGATGACTTTTTATTTTTGTTTGTATTTTGTGGACAATGTGTGATTTACATTTTGACTTAGTATATGGTACTTTGATCGAATTACATAAGTGTATGGTTTGATTGAATTATATATGGTATTTTGTAATCAACGTATATTTTGATTGAATTATATGTGATTTATTAAAATATGTCAAATTTATAACAAAATACTACTTAAGACGGACATTTATTGTCTTAAGGGTTAATATAAAAGTTAAATTTAATATGATTCACTGATATTAGAGACATAAACGCATTATCACGAGTTTAAAATATATTTAAAAATTAGTCCAAAATTTAACCTACGCACTCATTTTTCTTTTGCAAAATAAGAATGATTCATTTAAGTAAATATTTTAATGTGTCTAAGGGCGTCTTAAGATTAATTTATGTATTATCTTTTAATGATATTTTTATATTTTTTAAAGGTGTCTCTTCTTTACTAAGGATGTGAAAAAGCAACTCCTCCATTCAATTTGGTTGCCCTTTCTGCCACTCCTGGGGCCATCAATCATAATGGCTTGAACAAAAGGAGTCACGTGTTAGGAATATACTTTCCTTTTTACACGTACTAACATCAAAAAGTCTTATATCTACAAATAGAAAACATGCCTAAGCCTAAAACAATACATATACAAAGACACTATCTTCATAAATGGGCTCAAGATCAATTACATGGATCCAATTAGATGTTATATATATATATAAAACCATAATGTTCTATCAACATGACATAAACCTATAGATATCATTTTAAAAATGCACCAATGAAAAGCTTTCAAATTGTTCAACTAATATATAAAATATAATTAAGTTGAATGGTATAAGATCCATCCAATATTAATATATCATTTTCAACATCAGCCACAAAGTGGGACCATAATGATAAGATTGAATGAAATTTGCATTAAAATACCTATGGTTGCCGGTGTGGAACTTTGGTTAATTCCAACCAACATATCAAGATATTATACTAGACAAAAGCATAGTAGACATGATATTGTAATTAATATCATACATCTTTTGTTTAATCATTTTTGTTTTCTTGCTTAACCTCAACCACTAATAATATTCTCATTATTAATGTAGACTTTTGTCTCTTAAGCCACTAATCATGATATGATTAAATACTTTCATGTGGCTAGGGTTAATCCATATATTACTATATAAAACCTCTCTTTTATTTTTGTGTATCACTATAAAATTTTTAAACTATGGGAAAAGTTCATCCTCAAGCCCTAGGTTCTTCTACTTCTTGCAATTTCACTTCCAAGCAAGAAACTTTCACCCTATGGATGAAATCTCTTGTGTTGAATGGAAAAGGATGTACAGTCTTTGATTCCAATGGTCAAATTGCATATAGGGTTGATAACTATAACTCCAATAATAGAGATCAAGTTCATCTCATGGATCAAAGAGGAAACACTTTGTTTACTATACTTAAAAAGGTAAACAAAATCGTGCTCATGATATTATTTATTGTCTCTGCATTTTAATTAGGGTTTCTGTTGTTATTGTTGCAGTTGCATCAGTCAAATACATCAGTCGCATTTGATTATAATTTTATAAAATCGTATGTGTTTTTTTTTTCCAGCAATATAAGTTGTCGAGATTTTGGGAGGGTTACAAACTTCCGGCGACAAGGAACGACCAAAAAGGACCATGTTTTCGAGTTGGTAAAACGTATAGTATCATCAGATGGGATTCAAACTATGAAGTTGAACTTGGATTAGACAAAAACCAACCATATAACTATAAAATTGAAAGTAGCTCTTGTAAGCCAGCTTGCAAAATATTTGATAAGCTTGGAGTGATAGTTGCTGAGGTACTTAAACTTTGTAACATTTTTTAACCAAAGTTTGATAAATAACATAAACATATATGGATGTTTTAACTTAGACATGTAATAATTTTTTTTTTCTTTCTATTTTCAGCTAAGGAGAAAGAAGTCAACTTGTGGAATTGATTTAGGAGATGATGTTTTCACAATGGTGGTGGAGCCAAATATTGATCTTTCTCAAATTATGGGAGTTGTTGTAGCTTATAGTCTTATTAAAAGTAAAATGTAAATAAGTGTACACAACAATGGTTTGAATCTTGTGGAAGTCATTTTGGTTACAAAATGTATTGATAAGCCCAGATTCAAATTTAAGATTTGGAAATGGCTAAAGCACTTTTCTTGTGTTTGATGTAAATCAATTTTTTGTATTAGGCAAAAGCACTTTTTTGTAGTACTTTTTTCTACAGAACTTTTCTGTAGTATATCTATAGAAACTACTTTTGTATTTAGCCGGCTAAAGCTTGTTTTCTTTCCACTTGTATCATGCAAAATCATCTCTTAGATGATAAATTTCAATGTTTTGTATCAATTACTCAAAAGCTTCTTGATATAGAAATTGTAAAAACAATTATTAAATTCATGACTTGTTAAATGTTTTTAATAACGATCACAGAAACCTTTGCTTTTAGAATATCACATAAACGATTTTGTATTTTATCAAACCATAAATCATAGTATAAATTATTTTAATATAATTAAAATTTTAAATGAGTTGGACGTGAGAGACTTATCAAAGTGAATGCAGCCCTCAAAACTCAAAAAGTATTTACAGTTGTACTCTCAAATAAAAAAAAAATTGTCTTTAATCAAATTATCAAAAGATATATAAAAATGAGACATTTGGTTCTTGAGATGCACAAGCTAAAATTTTAAAGTCTTAATTATCCAAAATACCTAATGACATTCATAAAGATTGAAAAGTGGCTTATGCCAAAATAGGTTTTAATCTCTCTAAATAAATTTTAAATATTAAATGTATTTTAGTCCCACTAAATATATCAAAAAAGAAATTTAATTCTCCATCTTTTTAATAGTGATCTTTTTAATTTTTTTCTTTTGCTTTTGCAATTAAGTTTTGTATTGATATATTTGGAAAAAGCCAATAAGTAGCAACGTAGGACGTCTTCTAAGGACATGCGACATAATATATCACTTCTGCTAGGTTCCTAGTCACCCATTTATTGAAACGAGTCTTTGTAATTTAATTATAGCGCCTATTTCTTATAATACTTGTCTTTTATGAAAACGTGAGGGTGGCGTGTCTCTATCCATAACAATACGAGAGAGGAAGTAAAAAAGGTGAAACCGCGCCCTCCTGGATAATAAGGGATTTGGCTGCCCACATCCCATGCTCTTGAGAAATGGGTATTACTACTCTCTTGAAGCCTAAGATCTAGGCTCAAGGGATTCCTATAACCACTTCAATCTTAAGGTTGAATGAATCATCTAATTTTACCCAAAACACTAGTATATAGAGTCTCTCACCTCACTGTATGAGCTTGATCTAACACCATAACAATCTTAAAAATCTCTAAAAACCCTACAACACAAGGGATTGTCAAGTATTACACTTTTAGCAAGTACAATTGGCGTCCTTAGTGGAGCCTAGTAAAACTGACATGGGTCATCATTACAACATCCAGCCAAAATGTTATCCCCACATTCAACTCCTCTGTCCATCATGGTGAACAAGAAGATAGCAATTTCGACCAACAATGAGTCTATCCGACAACTTACACCACTAGAAATGTGTGTTGTCATGGACGACTTACGGCGCCAAAATCAAACTTTAAAGGATAACTCCCTCCATATCCAACAATGGTGATAAGTGCCTGAATTACGTAAAATATGTAGGCATTTATTAACTTATTTATAAGTAATCGACAAAAACTCTGATTTATCAATGCAAGTGATAAAAAAAACTTGTTTGGACTTTCTACTTGCACATTAACCAAAAACAAGTAAAAAGGACTGAAAAGACACCGAGCAACAAACAAAGACCTTTTCAAAGACACTTTCCTACAAGCAAGGCTGGCTAAGCTAAGATCATGGGAGTGCTTAGTGAGCATGGGTGGAAGAAGACTACAAGGCTAAGTTACTTCATGGTGATGGAAGGGTTTGTGCGCTAGTTGAAGTGGATGATGCACCTAGTGAGCGATGTGCCTAACGATCCTACCTTTCCCAAACCTATAAGTAGGAGTGTCATTTTAAAATCAAAGGATGTTTCAATAGATTCATGGTAGTACAAAAAGAAATTAGGTTCACCGTAAATCTCACTATGAGAGAATAAAGAGAGGAAGACTAGAGGTAGAAGCGTTGCTCGAGGAATCATTGTTGATGTTGCTCACACTCTTTCTTATAAGATTTAACAATAAAGCTATAATGAGTAAGCATAACTAATTCTCTTTTGTTGGAGTTAGGTGTAATCATCATATACCCATGTATTAATTACAGACATGACATTTTATGTAATTCTATTTAACCTTAAATATTGATGATTCTTTGTTATTAATATTTGTTTTGGATTAGCTACCTAAAACATGTTCTCATGGTATGACTTGACATTCAAGAAATGTTGGTTTTTAGTAGATCAAAGTCTCTATATATTGGATGCTAATGTCTAGAAATAGGGTTATGTTTAATATCCACACAAATAATGATATTGGTGAAAAGGTTCACTGGTATCTGCATTCACGGTTGAAATTTAATGTTGTTGTATTAGTTAATAAGGAGCGATATCGTCTATTAGGTAATACAAATAATCTCATGTCGTTGACTCAAAGATGAGCTATAATGTGAGCAACAAATGATAGTATTAATAGTTAAGTAGAAGAGCATATTATTAACAAATGATTATGCATGTGGATAAGGATGAAAAAATTTAAATATAAACAAGTTTTCTTACTGTTAACACCAAAATCTCAATTTATTTTCTATCATTAACATTCTCTTAGAATAATAAAAATCATTGAACGGTCTTTAAAGCACAACCAGTTTCTATGAATGCGATAGTCTCAGATGCTAAGTTACGTTTACCGTAGTATCTAAGGTCATATATATTTTTTAGATTATATTTATGCATAATCTAGTTTATGTATCTAAGTTCATGGTTTCATAAAATTCATATTTTTTAAATCTAAGTTCATTTGTTTAGTTTACTTATAAATATTTGAATATGTGACTATTTGTATAGACTCGTACTTACATAAGATATATTATAATATTATTGTATTTTAAAACTATAACATGACTTTGAACTTTAGGATAGACGATCATTGATAGTTCCTTTAATACTTCACGTAAAAAAAAATTGGCACCAAAATACAGGTGGAGATATTTTATTGTTGTTTTTATTTAATTAGTTCATTATAACTCTTTGTTATTATAAATATTTTATTATTTGTCATTATAATTATGCTATTATTATTATTAACCCTTTGCTTTGAGTATAACTCTTACTTTGATTGAAATCGTTGCTCTTGATTTTGTAAATTCTGCAATATTTTTCAACATATTTAATATTACTCTTAGTTGTCGAACTCAAATATCATGTTTTGTTACATGGTCATATGCTTTTCAACTTCGCTTATCGCGTCTCAAGTGATTTTATGCTCTCCACTAATATAAATATTATAACAGAGCTAAATATAAATATCATAATTCTTTAACTCATTTCTTTAGGTTGAAGTGTCTTTAGAACTCACCACTCCTTTTTACCACTTTTACTTAACACAATAACATATTGTTGAAGGACGTCTAAGGAGAACCAATGACTATAATATCTTGTCTTATGTCATAAAAATTATGAAGTATATTATGAACTTCTATGTTGAAAAATTTGTTGTTAAAGCGATCTTTAATGATTTTATTGTGTTAAGTGATATGCGAGATGAAAATGAGTGAAGAGTTCTAAAATTATTCAAGGAAGAAAAAATGGGGTAAAGCATATTGATTTTCTATTTGGTTTTGTTCAGGTTAGATTATATACAGTAATCGAGAGTCTTAATGTCACTTGAGATGAGAGATTTGGAGTTGAAAAACACCTTGGCATACAACAAAATATGACATTTGAGTTTCACAAACTAAAAGCATAACAAAATATGTTGAAGAGCGTTGAAGAAGATGATGATAAAGAAGATTCAAAATTTGTCAACAAGTATGGTGCTTTGGAAAATGATCTAATACAAAATGAAGCATTAGTTGAAGAACTTAAGGATACAAAATTTGTCAACGAAGTTGTTTCTAATTGTAATTTTATTTTTGAGAGTTTGATATTAAATAGCATGAACAAATCTCACTAATATCGAGAGTAGGATCATGCGTCGGATCCTATTGTAATATGTGGAATCCATACTTGGGAGTGTTAACATTCAAGTGTGAATGGTTAAATCTCATGTCAACTATAAAGGTAAATAAAATATGATATATAAGAGAAAGAATACATTAACCTATTTTTAAAAGGTTTTGGGTGAATATATGATTATTTAATTCTATTTTTTTTAAAATGATTTTTTATAGTGTAATATATTTTTGTTGAAAAATATTTACAAATATTTTTTTTTTAAAAACTTCAAATAAAAAAATGGTTTAAATAGTTTTTCATAAATGTTATTTTAGGTATTTTATTTTTTTATTATAATTTTTTCATAATATATATTTATGTTATCAGATGTCAAAATTAATTTGTTTACTTATAAACATGATGTTGTGGATCAAATGTCTTGAAACAAAGTATAGACGGTTTCTTTATGTTCAAGAAACACACAAGGGTTAAGGTTAACAAAGAAAACAAGGTAAAACAACAAAGATTGGTTATAAACTACTATTCTTTCCTTACTCTTTGAACAAGATTACAAGTATACAAGAATAACAAAATAACCTCTCTCTCTTGAAATTAGGATTTTATCTTCCTATTTTTCTGTATGCCAAGATTGAGAAACTAGCATCCTATTTATAAGAAAAATAGAACACTAACCTAATGAGTTTTTTTAAACAATTATCCGTTACAAGCTAACTTAGGGTACAAGCTAACTTAAACAATTGGGTTTACAAGTAAGGCCCAATTCAACATGCTAACAACCCTAGCAATATTGACTAATGCATGTTAGAACAAACTTCGACTATAACACGCATTACTTCGACAGTAGCATGCGAACATACTTCGACCTCATGATTAATTTCTGTCAAACCAGAAGTTACCCTTTGACCATACCAGAGTTTGATCCAACA